TCCAATTGCTAAACTCCAGAGATTGCAGCTGGATTCTTAAAGATGACCACAATATGTTCATGATAAGGCTCTTGAAGTACACCACTTATGAAAGAACAAACTCATTGAAAGATGAATAATAATACACTGCTTTGGTAAAGGTGGCTAAGTCAAACGGCAAAAAGAAAAAAAAAAACTCAGTACCTTGTATGTTATCATTTTCAATTCTCTCGAATAGGGCATTAAATAATGTCAAACAATCCTGCGAACCTCAGGAAATATATTTTTCCGGTCTGCAGCATGGAGTTTCATTTCCTCACTTCATGGCCCATCACAAGTTTTGTTTCAGTAATTTTCCAATTAAAAGACTTACACTCTCGTAGCTAGGAAACCAGATGCTCCAAATCTAAGGCCTCATTTAGCATTACTGTTGAAAGTAGCCTTTGCATTCAAAAACTACTTTTGACCCAAACACGATGCTAAACAACAAAAAAAATTGGCTTTCCAGTCTAAAAGCCTGGTTTTCCAACCCAAACAAAAAAGCTCCTCAAGAGGTGCTTTTGCAGTGCAAAAGTGCATTTGGGATAGAAAATTACTTTATTATCCCTATATTTTATACATATACTTCAGACATTTCAATTACTCAGCATTTTTTCACGGCAATACCAAACACTCAAAATTTTTAACCACACTTTTCTTACCATACCTTTTAAACGCACTTTTTCCAACCAAAACTTTTTTCAACCGCAACAACAATCTTAAAATAGCCCTAAATTTACATAGGGCTAGTCAGTTGTCAACTAGGAGAAGGAAACAAAATATCTAAAGCTTTCAAAGGCACACAAATGATATTTTCATGTCTTTTAATACCATAAAATAAAACTTTTGTCTTCTACATAGTCCCGACACTCCCACCATTAGCCTTATATTACTAGCTCCAATGAGAACTGCTTGATCAATGACCATCAGAATTCACAGTGTTCACTGGCTGAACAATATAACAAATGAAACACATTCAACCATAAAGAAGGAGCTAGAAACACACCTGTGCATGAGTCTCTCAATAAAATCCTCCTCCTTCATTCTTAAAAGAGATTGCCGAGTTTCTTCTCCAAGATCTGACCAGAAATCTACTAAGGTGTCGCAAGAGAGCCTGGCAGTGTGTAGTGCGCATGTTTCCCTTATTCCATGTCCTCTTCCATAACTAGCAATTCCTTGGCTTATCCAACCCCGACCTCCCCCACCACAAGCATCAGGATAAAGCAATTCACGGTCCCGCTCCCTTGCACGTGCACTGTCAAACACCTGATTCAATTGAAACATCAACAACTAGATGAAAGGGGAAAACATAACCAGAGAAAACAATTTGATCAGCACAAACATTTTGGAGACCCTTGAGCAACTTTGAGCACAAAAAGCAATCAAGAAGCGTCAGTGAACCATCACGAGTTGTGGTCAAACCTCCCCAAGGATGGAGAGATGGATCTTGAATTTCATCTTGTGACCCATTTGTCATACTCAATCCACCATCAATTTGGTTTTTTGAGACTCCTGACCTGTTGTAATGAAGGTTACCAGCTACTCCCTCCTGCTGCAAGGATTTTCCATACAAGACAATCTGCAAAAAACCTTCAAGCAGTAGCCCATTACATCTGGAGCAGTACATGTTCTTGCGAGCTTGCTCAAAGAGGGTTTGTTTATCAATTCTAAGGAGCTCCTGCCGAGCTTGCAATGAAAGCTCACTCCAGAACTGAAACACAAAAACACAGCTCTTGGTTATTAACTAATCAGAAAATAAAATCAATAAACCATGTATTTATAAAACATATCCATTATTAAATTGCACAATCAACATATCCCTCTTTTTTGGTACATATGGAAGGTGGAGAGCCGAGTGTGAAGATCCATTAGGTCTTAGGCTACACAACAGGGGGTAACTCTCACCTATCACATTCACCCTGCCTCCTCCTGTAGGACTCGAACCTACAATCTCAAATTTGGAGTTTCACATTGTAACCATTTGGGTGCCCCCTTGGAAGCATTATCTTTATTTGCTAATTGCAAACAAGTACCATTCCTTGAATTCCAAATTCCTCAATTAGCTACCAATACTTTCGATATCCAAAAAATATAAGGACCATAGACAACGGCTAAAAGCCACATTGAGCTCAATAAAGAGTAAAAAATTCTTAAAGAACCGACAGTGACGAAGTTAATTATCACACTTCTAGTTGTTATTTCTTCCATTACTCAATTCAAAACCAGGAATAGCACTAAAAGATCAGTGCCTTGGCTCTAAACAAAATTAGGCAGCTAATTTCTAGCAACAAATCTAATACTAGAATCAAAATTGGCACATAATCAAAATTACAAATTCTCTAAACTGGATCTGAAAAGCATAAAAATAAAAATAAAATTCCAATAAATTAAGATCCAATCCAAACTTAAACTACCCATTAAAATAAACAAAAAACCGAATCCAAAACACTGATCCAATCCAATTCATAAAAACAATAATATCACCAAAAAATTCAACAAAAATAAAAGGAAAAAAGATAAAGTGGAGAAAATGAAAATCTAATACCTTCTGAAGTTGATTGTAGCTAACATCATCGTTATGCTTAGACCAAAACCCAAATGAGGCATTACGATATTGCTCATTTCTTTGCGCCAATCCTGGCATCCTTTGATTTCTCAAACTCTCTTTGATTTAAAATTATTCACCAATCTCTCCATTCCCGCCCTTCAATTTCGTTTTGTATTACCGATCCAAAAACACAACCTATTCAATTTTTTATTGAATCGAATTTGACAAAAAAAAATCAATAAGTTCATGCAATATTATTCAGTGATCGTGAAAATGATGATTGGGTGGTTTTCTTTTCCCAGGGATCCTAATCGGATTGAATTTGAGAAAGAGATCGAAGAGAGATAGGATATTTGAAAGGCTGGGTTTTGAGGGTTTGATGACAACAGATTTGGAGCGGCTGTTTTTTTTTTTTTATTTATACATATTTATAAGAAAAAATCAGTGAAGAAGGATTTTGATTGAGGATGCTTTGTTTGGACATGGGGAAAAGAGTAGGAGAAGAGGAAGGACGGTTAAAATGGAAACTTACTGTTACATTACAATTTTTAACTATATAAATAATAATTTTTATTATTATCTGTGAGATTTTTTTTAAAATGTTGGTGATTTAATATCAAAGTTAAAATTTTAAAAAAATAAAAATTAAAATAAAAATGTAGAAGAAAATAGAAAGTTATTTTCGATTAATCAAATAAAATCAATTACTATCATATTTGGTGTTTTTTGGTGAATATAATTTTTTTATATTTTTAGGTGAATATAATTAATTCTACAATGGAATGAAAATAAGGTTAGATTTATTTTTAGTTTTAATGCGGTTTATTTCAATTAATTAGGCGGTTAAAATAGTTACTTTTGTTAATTAGATTTTTACTTAAATTTATTTTGCTGGTTAACACATGATAGAAAAAATATATATTATTAAAGAATTCTTGACATAAACACGAGGTGCGTTTTTATCATTTAATGTTAAGGGTATAAACAAAATTATTATTATACAAATATGATGAAATGTGAAATAATGATGACATAAATTGTCTTTCTTTTTTTTTTTACACATAATAATTTTATTGAGTTTTATTGAAAGTTTCTCGTCCCTTTGAAAATTATAAAAATATCCTCAACTATACGATGTACCCAGTCTGAAGACAGGTACAAAACTACGCCGTTCTGAAGGCTAATAATTTAAAACATTAACGTATGATCGAAGCGTTAGTTTTTTTTTTGTTTTTTTAGAATGTAAAGAATAAAACATTTAACGAATATTTTGCGAATAATTTTATTTATATTTATTTTACAAATAATTATTATAAATATTATTAAATAAATAAATAAATAATATATCGATATTATTATGAGCCTCTTTCGTAAATGAATCGGAAAAAATATAATCAGACAGTACATAGTCAGATTTTAGATGGAAAGCCCAATTAATAACTGCCACGTATGTCTTGTCATCATCGGATGGATTCGGCTAACATACAATGGAGCATGAACCCGTCCCCTTTATTTCTTTTTATTCATTTAGTTATTTATTATTGTCGGCGAATAATAGGCTACTTTGAAATTTTTGCAACCTAGGGATCTCAAAAGTAAATTAGCCATTTTCTAGCACTTTTTTTTTTTTTTTATATCGAAAGGAAAAAAAAAGTGTGAAGTGTGAATACCAATTATCAACTATCAAGTTGTCGTTGGATGTAACTATTTTTGGTGCAATCAAGGGTGTTGGTTTTGGTTATAAACTAGCTATCATACTATTGAGGGCATGCTATTTCTTCCACATTATTATATATTATTACATACACAATTTGATATTACCATTATGCTTTTAAATTAAGGAGGATTTTGTCATTATATATTATCATTTGTCAGCATTTGATTAAATGATAAAATATATATACTTTTCTGTTCAAAATGTTGAATTTCAATCCCCTATCATTAAAAAATGACAAAGAATCAATATGAGAAAGAGAGGAACTAACAAAGAAGAGAAAACAAACTTTACATGCACATTTTTTCTGTCCGAGGAGAGAGTGTTGTCATTTTTTTTTCTCTGTTCAGTTTAGATTGGGGCATAGATGTTGTCATCTTGTTGATAAATGAGGTCATTGTTGAATTAGGAAATTAAGACAAAACAACGACGACGATAATAATAATAATAATAATAATAACTTTATTTTTTTTATATACTTATCAAATTTTTTCGAGTTTTTATCATCTATTATTTTATAAAATTAACAATAATTGAATGTATGAAAGTTGTTTTGCTTTATCGTTTAAATTTTAATATTTATAATTTTTTTGTTTTAAATTATGAATTTTATTTTATAAAAATAAATAAATAAAGGGTCGACAGCTTAAAACTAGATGATGATGAGGTTAACAACAAAACAGGCCCTAAGAAATTTTACAAACTAAAAGGAAAAAGGGTAGTGCTTCACTTTTCTCTAATCCTTATCTAGCTTGAATCTCCAAGGAAAGAATATTGTCTTCAATTAAAAGTAAACACTTTAAGTAATGAGATAACAAAACATGAACAGAGAGTTACAACTAAGCCAACCTGGGTACTGCTTATTAGGTCAGAATATTGTCTTCAATATATATTATGCTTGAGAGTCTGCTCCTGCCGGTTTTGCATTAAGAAGAGGCTGAAGAGCTTTGACAACAATTGTCATGTTTGGCCGGAAATCTGCCTCATACTGTACACAAAGTGCTGCAACTGCTGCTAGCTGAGATCCCCAAATATATATATTACAAAACAATCGAGAAAAGTCTTACGAAAATAATGTAGCAGAAGAGACAACAACCTTGGCAATTGCCTTTGGTGGGTATTCATTGTTTAGCTTGGGATCCACACATTGCTTAACCTTGTCTTCACTTAACCTTGGAGTTGCCTTCATCATTGAAACCGAGTTAGAGACGCATACTAAATGGCAGTGAATAGGAAAAGGAATAGGAAAAGAAACACACCCAAGTAACAAGACTCTGTTGTCCTTTGGGCATTGTATGGTCTACTGGTTTTCTCCCTGTCAAGAGCTCAAGAAGAACAACTCCAAAACTGTATACATCACTTTTCTGCGTTATATGCCCTGTCATAGCATACCTACACAGAAAGAAAGTTTAAGCAAAATGTTCCCTTTCTAGTGGTAATATCCCGAATTATTTTATAGGTTCGGAACCATAACAGGCCCTTTTAGTACTTAATAATCATAAACAAAGCAAAAATGCTAAGAACCGAAGCATAGTTTAGTTGCTTCATTCAGTCATCTTTAAAAAGTGATATCTAATGAGTCTAGAGTTTGAATCCTAATACCTGAAACCCTTTTCCTTATCCCCGCTACGCCTCCTAAGTACCAAAAATGCTAAATTACAAGACTTACTCAGGGGCATGATAACCAAATGTACCCAAGACTCTAGTCGAATGCAGTCGAGCTGCGGTGTCAGAAGATTGATTTGCTAAGCTGAAATCGGCAATTTTGGCCAAGAAGTCATCAAAAAGAAGGACATTGCTTGATCTGACGTCGCGATGAACTATCGAAGGCTGAACTTTCTCATGCAAATATTCAAGACCTTTTGCAGCACCACAGGCAATTTTAGCTCTTTGGTTCCAGCTGAGAACTGGACCTGGTTCAGCTCTTTGTACACCTTTCCTCCCTGAACAAAAACCAAAACACTGAAAATGAATAAATATTCTAAAATGCAAAAAAAAATAAAATCTCAAACCTAAAAGATGGAATTGAGCATACCATGTAAGACATCATGTAAAGAACCCATTGTAGCGTGCTCATATACCAAGATTCTGTTATTTGCCTCCAAACAATACCCTAACAACTCCACAAAATGTTCGTTTTTAAGTCTTGAAACTACTGATAACTGCAAAATCATTGTAGCAATAACATGGGATCAAACTTAAATTCTAGACAGATCACTTTAATAGGGGAAACAAAAAGGTTATCTAAGTCTCACCTGTGCTTCAAAGTCAGAATCTGGTTCTGGTGAAGAAGCGGTATCCAGCTTCTTTATTGCTGCAGGCTGACCATTACTTAACTTCCCATAGAAAACTCGGCCATAAGAACCTTCTCCGATCAAAGCTTTTGTACCAAAGTTATCAGTCATCCTGTTTAACTCATCTAATGGAATAGATGGAATTTCAATAGGTAGAACTTTTTGAGGAGCCCCACTTTTAACCACATTGGAAGTCCTTGGCTCTCCTCTTCCACTGCCTGTTTAGAACATGATGAGTACACATTGCATTTTAAGGATTCGAAAATCAATGTCATGACTATTGAGGCCTAAGAAGAAGGAAAAATAGAACAAATAAAGCTCAAAAGTTAAAGATAAGGGAAAAAGAAGAAAAAGAAAACAATTACCAGCGCCACCGAATTGATTCCCTCCTATTGGTGGGGCTGTATATTGGTTTGGAGGTGGACCGTCGGGCTCCTCCTCCACACCGCCGCAGCATAACATAGCTTAGGACGTTAATGTCTCAAAGACTCTCTTATCAATTCAATGCAAAATCAAACCTTTTCCTGCATGGGAAAAAAAATGAAACAATATCATATTCAGGCAGCGGCGTCCAAGGTTCCAATCACCATCCCCTGGAAATTTTCCTCAAATGTAGTAAAAACTACTAAGACTTTAAAAGCAACTTGGGATTTTATTAAAATGATTGATCTTGAAAGAATCAATGTGATTAGAATGTATAACAGCAACATCGTAAATACAAGTAAAAATCATAATCAATTGTCAATGCACATATGATTTGCAAGGTCACATGAGCCAATATCTCAAATGAAAAAGGGAAACAAAATAAGAAAATCATTAGAAACATACCTTAAAGCTTGTGATTTGATCAACTCAAAGTAGGGAAAAAAACAAGGAAAAAAGTTGTGAAAAGCTGGATTGACACAGAGAGAGGGGAAAGTTGATAACAGAGAAAATTGCGGGAAAAGAAACAAAATCTTTATAGGAAACAGAAAAGTGGAAGTTCTTTGTCTTCTTCTTTGCTGTTTGTTCCTCCTTGCTCTGTAATGGCTCTGCATTGGAACAGACAATTCCCCTGTTTTGCGAGAAAATCGGGTCTCTCTTATAGTTTAACCGTTAAAATTAACCTACTTCTAAGTGCATTCACGCTTGCACCCCTCTAAACTAAACCCATATTTTCTATTTTCTATTAATGTATTTCTTTTTCTTTTTCATGATAATCTAATGATAGGTTTGATATTTGACATGCTTGTCAATAAAGAAATCTTACTCCTACTGATAATTTTGATTTTTTAAAAATTAATCCATGCTATTGAACTGCAATATTTTTGTTACATTATTAAACTCTTTTTTTTTTATAAAAGATTACATCATAATTAATTTTATATTTAAATTTATTAAATATTATTTTTAAAAATAATTATATGAATTACCCTTGTGAAGCTTGAAATTCAAAACCAGTTTTTATTTGCATGCATAATTTTTTATTTGCTCTTTTCAGTACTGAAAGCTTGTACTTATCATCATTGTACTTTGATTCAGAAAATTTTAGAATAGGGTCTCAGTTCTTTTCTCATAAAATTTTCAGGATCACAATCACCCCACGTCTAGTACGAAAAAAAGAATACAAAAGGCAAGGCGAAAAACAGAGCACATGATCAAAATAAAACTTGAAATATTGGAGAAGCGGTTTAATACAGGAAGCCAACAGCAATCACAGCCAAAAGATCGTTCCATACATGTTGCCGGAATAAACTTTGAGCAACCAAGTTGACTCGTACAAATCATCATTTCCTCCACTAAAGATTCAGCAGAAGGCGGCCGTCAGCAAAGGGATTAGACTGTAGAGGACATATCCCATGTAAATACAAAAAAAAGCCCTGATCGTAAAAATGAAAGCTTCAACTGTTTGTCGATTGAGACTCTGGAAATTTTCGAAACTGTACAAAACAAACTCAATTCTCCATGGTTTCCTATCTCATTCTTCCTCCCAGATACGGCCAGTTACCCTCAACTTCAGCTCTTGCCTATCGCCACCAGAAAAGTATAGAGCTAAGTTCCTTTGGATAATAAGTCCATCCTGACTGTCACGAACTTTCCGATGACTGTCCCGGATGCTCCTGGGAATCCCCTGCCATATTAGTTTACGGCCATTGCAACCAACTTCCAAACTATAACTAAACTTTTTTGCTTCATTATTGTCACCCATAAAACATAAAAAGGCCATATAGACAGGTGCCATGCCAACCTGGAAAGCCTCAAAATGCAAGCAGAACTGTCTTCCAAAACAATTGAACAGCTGCACAGGATGTTAGAGTTCAGAAGGTAGGTTAGGGCTTCATATCAAGACAATATTTATTTGACCAGAGGAGCAGCAGATGAAAACATTATGATAGATCGCATAGAAAGTTAAAAGTAAGTCTAGGACAAATTATTTAAGAAAACAGCAGTAGCTCATTATGCAATAATTTTGGATAACTTGTTGAAGGAGTCCTTTCAGAAGCATAAGATTTGCAGTTTAAAACCTATAACTTTAACAGTCCGAACAGAAACCACATAATCTCCTTCGTAACTGTAAATTACTCAAGTGACTTACATGGTTTTCAACTTCTTTTGACAAATATAGAAGAAATAACTATGAGCAAAACTTAACAACAACAATGTTTTATCACAATCCACAAATAACTATTATCAGAGAAGCATAGAAACACTAGAGTTGTCATGTAATGTAGCATAAACCAACTTACAGTAAGCATCCATGTGGCATTTTCAACTTCGTGTGGATTTGATTTGACATATCGGTGGTTGAAGGTACATCCATCATGCATGTCAACCTTATGATCGTCCGTGAGATGTGCAACAAGAGTTGGGATGTCACCTGTGATGGAGCACTCTGAACCAACATAAGGGCAATTGTAAGGACGAAACCAACAGCATTGCTCATGCTTAAGCTTGCTGTAATAGGGGAAGATATCATGGCACCCTAGGTTCTGGTATTTACAAGGGATTTCCAAGGATTCTGCAACTTTCTCCAAAGCTAAACACCTTATATTTCCAAGATCATAGCGGCACGTTGGGCAACAGTTGTGCACTCGAGTCTTGCAGTTTGAACACAAAGTGTGTCCATTTGGGCACTGTAATAGAAGATAGGATGCAACATGTAAAAATTTTAGTAACTGAGTAATGTTTATAAATCTGAATAATAAAGAGGTTAAAAACAAATTTTCCATACCATAGTCAAAATCCCCATACAACCTAATTAGTAAAGGAAGCAGTAACCATACAACACCAAAAGCCAAAAAAGCCTATGTCTAGACAAAAATTTCCGAATCCCTTTCAAATCGCTTTCCAATCACAATGATGATTTTTCCATATCCCTTCACGAGAATAACTCTCTTTGCAGGCTGCAGCAACCAAACTCCAAGATGATAAGTTATCCCATTTTATAGACAAAAATAGCCTTTTTCCCCTGTAACACTATGTCCATAGCCCTTCGTGCCTTGTGCCTGATTCCTTACACTTCACAAGGTACATAACAAAAAACCCAACTAAATAGGGCATCATAACCAGTTCTTCACCACCATTTTACCCCAGCATACAGATATCATCACTTAGTCCCATACAAGCATATGAAGGAACACATATAGCCTTCACAATGAAGTAATTAAGAAAATTCAGTAATAGGAAAAACAATGAAAAAGGGTAAAAAACAAAATACTACAACAAAACTATATTTTTATGGAAGAGCCAAAACAATTATACACAGGTGAACAAACCTGGTGAATTGGTGGGTACATCAAATTTGTGCATACAGGACACTTAAGGAGCTCATAAACACCATTGTCTGAATGAATTAAATGTTTTCCAACAAAACTAACAGCACTTTTCATCGTTGTAGTATTACTCTCGGACTTTGTTGTAGCAATGTCAGTATCTGCAATAGCAGAATGAGATTCAACAACTTCTTTGCACTCACTGCCTCCAGGAGCCATTGCTACTCCAAGTCTGGCAAAATCTCTGATCAACTACTTAAATTATTTATATTTATCCGCTTTTGAGAGGCTTCACTCTCTATTTCCCTATAATACAGGATAAAAATTAGATGTCATCAGAAAGAAAGATATTTTAAACAAAACATCCTGAAAGCAAATTACACAATCATAAGCAGTTGAACGTCCAGAAGAAAATGTGAACTATTTGAAGGAAATTGAACAGAATTGTTCTCATCCACAACATTAAATTTTGGCAGGAGATGGCAACCATGGCAGCCCACGGTATCTATGGTAACTAGATCAAACAAGATTAAACCCAAATTCTCATTTAAGCGGCTGAACTTAATGAAGAGTATCAATTTGCTAACACTATTCATCATATTGCAACAAAAACCAAATAATTCTGAGGTAGCATTTTCAGATGTATTCAACCTGTTGAAAGAAAAATCTAGCTACAGCAAACTTAAGATACATCATTATTATGTTCCAACAGGGCATTCAAATATCCATGGCTATTATTGTATATAAAAGTTCCACCTAGGACATCTTATAGTTCATATAAGAAGACTTCTTCCTTCTTAATTCTTTTTTTTCAAATTTCCAAAAGATGAAAAGAAAGTTTAAAGTGTAAGCACAAAACTTCTCCCATACACTTTGTGGTCAGTGAAACTAACATGCAAAACGCAAGAACCTATGAAACAGTGTTGAGTACTTTAAAAAGCAACATCCTAATGCGGAATAATGGTTTCCAATCTTTCCAAGAGAAAGATAAGCAATTCTAACAGCGGGAAGTTTGTTCTACAAAAATGAGATTAGCTGTTTCCACGTTGGAAATATTTACCAAGCAGAAAAACGCGAAGAAAGCAAAAGCATATTAAAAGGGGTCATTCTTCCACCTATCAAAAAAATTCTCCAGATTGCTATGCACAACAACAAGAGACGCTTTCAAGCTTCATGTCTAATTCCTTCCAAGAAAACTCATAACAAAATTTGCTACATCTTTAAGCAATTAAAAGGAAGGATTACCAATCGAATAGAACCCAGGTTTGCTCAAACTATCTTTCCTAATAACACGATCACGTAAGAAAGCAACCAACATTCCCAGATATTTAATGAAAATACTGTCAATTTCAATCAAATATAATGCTGAATAATGCAGAAAAGAACCATCCTTATCGTTGATGCAAAATAACCATAAAAAAAAAAAAAGCAGCCAAAATATGAGACAAGAACAGCATAAAAGCAAAACTTCCTCCCAAATTACAATCAAATCCACCATTTTTCTGTTTGATTTTACCCACCAAAAACATCAAAATCTTCAATTTTTTAAGCTTCTTACAAAACAACCAGACAATGAGAGAGAGAAAAGTGAAAGAAAACAACGGCCTCCCCACACCCAATGTGCAAATTCCAACAAAGTTCTCTTTTTCGATGCAATATCAAACTAAGTTTGTCCAAAACCAACTTCCCAATTTGGATTAATTAAAACAGAAAAAAAAACAAAAGCACTTGTTTTTCAAGTTTCAAACCTTACCAATCAAAAGAAAAACAAAACAAAACAAAACAAAAAAAAAAAAAAACAAATCCAAAGAGGAAAAAAAACAAATGCCCAGTTGAGATTTCCAAGTTTGTGTCTTTACACACCATTAAAATCCACAAACAAAATTCTGCGTTGTTCTCAAAACATTAAAAAAAAAAAAAAAAAGGACAGAGTGCCAAAGGTGCAGCGAAACTTACGAGTTTTAAACCGAACACATGGGAAAATGAAGGAAAAACTTGTTTGGCATCAATCAAATGATGGCCATGCTTTTCTTTGCAAATGCAAACGCGTCTCTCTTTCTTCTTTTAAAAATATATATTTTCGATAATTTTGGTTTTTTTTTTTAATTTTTTTTTTAGTAAAATATTTTGGTTTTCTGTATGTCGTTTCCAGCAGTGATTTTGTTGTTGTTCCCTCCTTCGGTGGACCGATGCCTCTGAGTCGCAACTCGCATGCAACGTTAGAAAATTCGATTGAATTATTTTTTAGCACTCCTAAATACGCCATAATTTTTTTCTCTTATACTCATTTTTTAAAATATTTTTTGTAAGTTATATAAATATTCTTTTCACAAGTGTTGTTCGAAAATCAATTTCCCAAAGTTTTAGAAATAAAAATTTATAAAAAAATTTATTAAAAATTTTTATGAATTAATGTAATAAAATAATAATTATTAAAAATTTATGAAGTTTAAAATTAATAAAAAATTACTTTTATTATTTTGATATTAAAAAAATAAAATCCTTTAAAACTCTAATTAAATTAAAAATAAAATAATAAATATAATTATTTTATAATTATTTGAGTCCTTTGATAACAATGTTCTAAGTATCATAATGCAATGATTAATTCATGTCCTAAGCATGAAATCAATATATTCCCAACTTTCAACAAGAATATGAATGATCATACAAGTTATCTTTTTCCTCATATAAAATGGCATTGGACAATACTGTAGTGTTTTTTTTTTTTAAATCAATCCCATTTCATGCGAAAAATATATGTATTTTTATATAGATATTTTTAATAAAAATATTAATAAAATATTTATCATTAAATAAATATCGATAAAATTTGAATTATAAATAATTTTTTTAATAATTTTTTTACACATTATTAATTTTCACATTTAATTTTATCAATCTATTGGTTTGAATTTTTTTTTAAGTTTTTATTAAATTATTTAAAAAAAAAACTTTTCAAATTTTACCTAAAAAATTTAATGTAAGGTTTTTCCCCGTTTCAATGACTTAAAACTTTAAATTCAAGATTTAATTTTTTCAAGAAAAAAGTGGAATTAGTCACAAAAGTCATTAACTTTTACAGTTATTATTATTTTTTAAAAACAATTAAGAATATTTTTAAATTTTTTTCTAAATTTGATTTGTTGATGATTATAAATATATATATATATTTTTTACATCGATTTTATGTATTTAAAATTTTATTTTTAAAATGCTTTTCACAAAATTTGAATTTAAAATACTAAGAAAATGAAACTCCTCTTTTATCAACCGAATTAATTTTTAAGGATACTTACGTATATTTTAAAGCTCATGACAAAGTTATTAAAAAAAAAATCTCCAATTAATATGGTAGTTTTTGACCATCTCCACAAAGATGTTTGAGCTTTTATTTATGTACTCAAAAGATATCATGTGGATTTGTTTGAACAATTGGAGGCACCTTGCCATGGTAACCCTCTCACTAAGGTGATATCAGAACAGATCAATTTGGATTTTTTTTTATTCAATTTATTCGGATATTTTATTTTTTGATTCGTATTTAGTTCGCACAACAAAAATATTTAGATAAAATCAATCCATATAAATTTGAATCGATTAAAATCGAATATTCTAATCTACATATATTGAAATTAACCTACAAAAAAACTAAAGATCAAATAACGGGGAGCCAAAATTCAAGGTAAAACAGATTAATATTGATATAAAAATCAACTAGTTTAGAAAATATTTTGAATTTCAATAAAACAAATATTACCCATTAATTTGCTATTAATATGCTACAACCACAAGCATATAAGCCCTTTCAATGCAATTCCAAAAGTATTGAGATCACTGAAATACTGAATGGCATGTCTACTCGGACAGCAACAGTATTTCCATCTCCGCTCTCGTATAATCTGCAAGCTCCATTTAACAAATAATTAATGACTATTACAGTACAGAGCACATCCCCAAATCAAAGTGAGCAAAATGATTATTAAATGTAATCATTAGGTTCACCTAATATGTACCGCACATTATGATCAGTTAATTATGATGTTATAAAGAACACAATCAAGCGCATTTCCTGCTAAATTGGTTTCTATGTCAGGATAGATAACGCTGATAATATTAACAAATGATTTCAAAATATGACTATTACCATCTTAACTTATATCAGACTGAACATTTAGTAGGAATGGACTAGATGTGATAATCTAGTCCATTGCTTATAAAAGTTCCATTTTTAACTAAAACAAGTTTAAATATTTACACTAATCAGCACCAACATGCAATCTGAACAAAGTTATCAAGCAGAAACTTAATTAGAATCAAGGAAAGATGCTCTGCCACTGGGTGGCTTTCAAACACAACTCCTTATCCAGAGATAAATTTCAAGTTCCTAGTCCCTACTGGTATCCTGAGTATTTCTTAAGGAAGATTGCACCATTTAGACTAGACATATTGTGGTCCTCAATTTCAAATCTGACAACATATAAAAATAGGAGATATCTAGAGACAACTTTGTAATTTCTGCTCTTTTGTCTGTCATTTCATATACAGAATAATGCAAGTCCACAAGCTTGTTCAAAGAATCTCAAGTATGAATGGAAACAGGCATAACGTGCATGGCCACATTGAACGTTATATGGAATTCATTAACCATGTGAGGCTTCCAATGACACTAGTTGAAGCGGCAAGAAACTCGAACAATTAGGTGTATATAATTTAATCTTACCTTCTCAATGCCACCACAAGATGTTATGGTTCGTTTACAATAATACTGAAACTGGTCATGCAAATTCATTCATTTCACAACAACATATCTTTGCAGTATTAAAGACTGCATTCCTGTAAGCAGGAAGGATGGTGATGGACCAATGAGGCAAGTTATAGTGCATGTTATTAAATAACACTCTTGCAGCGGATTTGGTATCATAGTTCGATCGGAAAGCTGCACAATCTCCTGATTCTGATGTGTATATATGAGCCTGGAAAATGCCAAACATTGACTAGAGTCAGTAAACAACTAAAGATCCTACATCTGCTGGAAGCAGGGGACTTTGAGAATACAAGCAGAAACCTGTTGGAAGCTTCCAACCAAGGATTGTTCCAACAATAAGTTAGGTGCCAACAACGTATTTAGATATTTTATATACTTTAATGTGAACAATTTTTGTATATACTTTTATGTGAACAATTTTTGTATATACTTTTATGTGAACAATGTTTTGTATCTTTTATTTTATATACTCCAGCAGGATTGCATGCTTTAACCTTCAATAACTTTTACAAGAGTCCTGCAACACATATTAATGTCTAAACTAGACTGCCAGAAACAATTTAGAATATATATGTATATTGTGGCTCAAAATATATATATATATATATATAAATATATATCTCTGTGTGTGTGTCTGCATTCAATGTTATACTTGGAAGGATTCATTACTTACCCAAATGCCAAATGGCCTTTGTTTGATTGCTAGTAGCTCAACATCCAACTGCAAGTTAAAGAAGAAACAGAAACGAAGGGAGGATAATGTAGGAAATTATTCATGAGATTAAACAAAGATTATGGCAAGGGACAGAAATATGGCAAATAAAGATCTAGAATGGCTAGGAAAGCTTTCAAATGATCAACATACAACATCTACGTAAATTTTAGATGCATGATGATGGATACATTAACTCAGTTGTTGCATTTGGAGGAATTTCCTGGACTCCTTTTTTTTCCATATGCTAGCTCAGGTGGAACTATCAGCAGCCGCAAAAAATAAAACCATTGGTTACAAAACATTTTCGCTTTTCAAATTAAGGGCAAAGACGTTCAACCAAGTTCATAATCACAAATTATACATGAAAACAAAAGTAATTAGGCATCAACTCAAGTTGGCTCTACTTAAATGGAGGAAAAAGAACTTTTATGCCCATAAAGAACCTGAAATCTCAAAAGGTATAAATGTGAAGAAATTGTAATTTTCTTATATAATTTGTTTGTTTTACACTATTTCAGTTGATCAAAATAAAACTACAGAATTTTGAAAGCAAATAGATTATCTTTCTAAGTTCTAAGTTATGCTGTCTATAGTTTTTACACGAAACAGCAAGGAAATAGTATGCTGCAAACTGATCTCACCTGGCCTCATACACGCATTCCTTCAACACCAAGATCCAACCCCGTAAGCACATTTCCCCTTTCGGATTGGCCAATATCGAATCCATAAGGCTGCACCAATTGAAACATATCCACATTGCCTAAGTCTGAATCTCTATTTGATATCACCTGATTAGAAATGTTCAGTATATGAAATGCCAAGAGCTAATGGACAGTATAAAATCAACAGAATGGAGACCATAGAGCAGCCAGAGCAATTGAAGATAGCATTAATGTCATTGCTAAACAAATTTGTTCTGAATGATATCTGTGAAAACATGGAGAATCAGAATGAAGTTCATGTGATACAGAGTTTATGCTAGATGAAAATCTTAACCTCATTCAAACCAAGTATCTCTTAATATCAAGAAGTTTAATCTCAAACTCTTAGTGGATTTATAAATCTGAATGTCCAATTCATGCTTTTGGCTACCAATAAAAACATTTGGCTCATGCTGATTTAGCAGCCTACAAGTCTCTGATAGCCTACAAGGCTTTTACAGCTATGGACTATGGTGGTTACTAAAGGCATGAAAAGGACTATGGAATGTCTCTTTCTTTCCCTTTTGTTTCTGAATGAAGAATCAGTTCACAATGAATAGTTGCTTAAAAAGTGAGGGATAGAATATAAGTGTAGTGTTACCAGTAGATTTATAAGGTGTCAAAATAGTTTTGCTGTTCTTATTTCTAGAATATTAGATTATCCCTTTTCGTTTAAACAAAACACATAATCATTCAGTCTTACTGTCCCCCTCCAACACCAAGTCCTTGTCTACTCATCATAAACGTGATGCCTCTCCATTTGGTAACATAGTGAACCTACAGAAAAGGAACCATATTGCATTAGTTGTATTTGAATTTATGGGATGAACAAACAAAACAATACAA